CGAACAAAGGTCAAAATGTGCAGCTCTTCACCGGCAAGTGTTTGCGTCTCCATATATGAGTGAAAAATTATCGAGAGTGACGTTAAACAACGAGCAAACAAACAAAAAATACTAATAAATGGGACTCATATATATTTTTAAATAAGAATCATCAATTGTACAGTACCTACAAAATCAGATTCTGTAGATTCTCAGGAATACATATGTAATAATTAGTTAACACTTAAAGTAGTCCAAGATCAAAGGCTAAAATGGAATAACCTGTCCTCACTCAAAGTAGACTACTTTGAAGGGTTTACATGTAAAATAGACCGCTCTCAGTAAGAAAACTTACCGGAAATTTTAAACGATGTTGAGACCTACCTTGGATCTTTTGGCGACTGTACTATCACTGGTAAAACAATACATGCAGTCCAGGTATCTCTGAGTTGCCATGCCGGTCATTACCATGATGTAGACATCTTACCAACTGTTAACATATTAGCCAAACGTATGTGATACATTAGTTATATGTCTCTGTTGCATTTGAGGCAATATCAGCTCGATATCTGCAACATTGCAATGCCAACGATATGAACGATGTAAACTAAAAGACAATATATCGATATAGTTTAACGAAAAGGGTTGCTTATTAAATAAGCATATTTTAAGACGTGAATGGAAATCTAAATAATTGATTAAACATCAATTCTCAAATATATTGTGTACATTTCTACGGAAGCCCATTTAGGACCTATCAAAAAATATTTTAGAATTCGTTATAACGATTTTTAGAATTCGTTATAACGAATTTCATTTGCTATAACGATTTTTAGAATTCGTTATAACGAATTTCATTTGTTATAACGATTTTTAGAATTCGTTATAACGAATTTAATTTGTTATAACAGGTTTATTGAATTCGTTATAACGAATTTAATTTGTTATAACAGATTCATTGAATTCGTTATAACGGATTTTATTTGTTATAACAGATTCATTGAATTCGTTATAACGAATTTAATTTGTTATTACAGATTTATTGAATTCATTATAACGAATTTAATCTGTTATTACAGATTTGTTGAATTTGTTATAACCAATTTAAGAATTTCTACATTTCGTCTCCACTGCTAAAAATAGTGTGGAGTAAAGTAAGAGGCTAGAGCATTTACAGGAACCTTTCACAGTGGCGCATATCCTCTGCATATTCCATATAGGTAAGAAGGTTGTAGTATAAAGCCTGTAAGGGATAAAACACAAATTGAAAAGAAAGGAAATGGGAATTGATAATTAATCTTGCCCATTTATATATTATTTTGTTGCAAATGCCATAAAGACATACATAGCAATCCGCACTTTTATACCTATCCCATGTAAATGTTTCACTTGTGCTTTTTTAAAGCCGAAATTCAAGTGTTATAACAGGTACCATATATATACTATCGAGTATATAGGTCCCTTGTTATATTAAGTTTCATCAGACAATTTCAAAACCATCGACATCAACAGGCTAGGATTAGTGCAGAAAGTGAAATTGATAACTGGAAATATTTTTGGTTAGTAGGAGGTTTAAAATACTGATCGTCTATCGATAATTCAGAGAAAAGTTCCCACAATTTTCTAAGCAGAGTAAAAATAGTTAAAAGTTCTCAATTTGAATAAATGGTCTTCCTATCATGACATTGTTTACCCATACTGCGCCTTAGATTAAATCTGTGACTTCACACTAGCCTACACATGAGCAGAAAGGAATATATACCACTGCCTGTAATGTATCTTTTTAAGGATTTTAATGAAATTTACAGTATCGCACTCAATTTGATTTTGGGTGTATAGAAAATGAAATTGACATATGATTATGAAGGATCTATTCTTCGAAAGGAAGATGTGGGTATATACTGTATTAGTTGGATTTACACTTCAAATTATCTATTGTTAACTTCCCTTTCTTATATATGTAGCAACATACCACTATCACCTGCACTTGAGGTTTTTATCTCCAAGGGAAGTTATTGACGAGCACGATAATGAAACAACAATATCAACAGTCTCGTTTAAAGTCATCATTCCGCTTGTAACAAAAATGCTCGATAAAATAACTTTGTAAGCAAAAACAATCTAATATCACTAAGTTGAATGCTGACTGACGCTTTTTCCTACCATCTGTAGGTTAGTATTCAAACACTTAGTTTCTGCAAATTTTGCCTATCAAGAAGCACACTCTGAGGGTAACTACTTAAGCTTATGCTGTCCATTTCTTTCGGGAAAAAATCTCAAAATATCTTTATTTTTTTTATAATTCTCAAAATCTAAACTGTTTATACGCCATTTTTTCTTTAAAACTATAAAGAATTATAATTTATCTAAGGTTAACAAAAACACAAACTTTATTAAGATTGACCAGAGAAATTTAACAAAACGGTCTTTTGAACACGTATACCCCCATTTTTGAAATATCATATTTTTTTAAATCATTCTTTGCAAAATTTGAAAAAAGTAAAATTTAAAATGATAATGTAGGCTCAGAATCAATAAAAATAGATGTCAAGTTAGTTTAGAAAAAATTAAAAGCTTTAGGTCCATAAAAGAAATTAAGAATTTTGTGTATGTGTATGTATTAAATGACATGTACATCCTATGAACAGAGTACGAAGTGTTAATGTCCATAAATAATGTTCATGAAATGCATTGTATGCCCAATGACACTATAATAAACAAATATATACGGTCTTGCAAAATTATTTTCAGTCACCCAAAAAGATTTTGTTTCAATAGACTAGTGATAATCAGAATTTTATGTTAGTGTATAAAATTAAAACCGGATCCGTAAAAGTATGGATCTTCCTTAAAGGAATATGTGAACATGTCGTCATGAGACTTATGTATTGTTTACGGAAGTATGTGAAAAAGGGCATAAACACGCAACCATGATAATTCCAGATCAGGAAGCAAAATTCCCACATATGAATGTTATAATGGAGAACCATTATTTAATTTAAACTTAAATTTCAATTACACGTCATTGTTAGTGTATGTGTACATAAAGAGGGGGAGTAAAAGGTAAGACTAGTCAAGTATTTTAACTAATTCTTGCGTGGATATATTTAACGTACTTCAATCTCCCTTCACTTTCACGAAAACTCAGTCGGGAGAGCCTTCGTTCTATGATCGGAAATTTGTGAGTTCAAATCTCGGCCGCGACTGACCGAAGTCGGTACTTTGGGGTGAAAGTTGTCCTTTAGATGTGACCTTACAACCGAAACCTCATGTCACCACATTATTTGGTACGATAAAACTTTATATTCGTCACTGCTCATTGCCCCTGAGTGCATTATTAACTTATCGTAGATGAAAGTTCATTGATATGCTCAAATCTCCAACTTGCCGAGAATCGACTACCATTGTTAAGGCATTAATATAATTATAGTGCTTTTTAGCTCACCTGGGCCGGAGGCTCAAGAGAGCTTTTCTGATAAAAATTTGTCCGTTGTCTGTCATTGTTGTTGTTGGCGTCGTTGTCGTAAATGTTTCACATTTTCATTTTCTCCAGAACTATTGGGCCAATTTCAAGCAAACTTGGCACAAAGTATCCTTGGGTAAAGGGGATTCAAGTTTCAAATGAAGGGCAAGGCCCTCTTTCAAGGGAAGATAATAAGAAAATAGTGAAAAAATAATGGCATCTTTTAAAAATCCTTTTCTCAAAAACCACTCGGCCATGAAAGATGAAACTCAGGTCGAAGCATAATTACGTGGTGTAAATTAAATTTTGTACAAATCATAACTCTTGGGGGTATGGTGGGGCTACAAGTGGGGATTTACAAAGTTTTACATAGAAACATATAGGAAAATATCCGCGTCATTAAAAATCTTCTCCTTAACAGGGTTCTCCATCATTTGAAATTTTACTGTGTTGCAGACTATACGAGAAGTACTAAAATTTTGCGGTATATTCGCGCTCAAATTCGCAACTGAATCACTATTGACTATAATTACAAAAGGAAACATCAGTTACTTATTTAAAAATCGCTTTTTCGTTACACAAATGGTACGGTCGTACATATTGATAAAAGTAAAACTCGTTCTGAAGGTCAGAGGAAATTCTGACCGATACAGTTGAACTTCTGAACATTTTTGAAAGGAGATTTTTAATACATAATTCTAGCACCGTGGCTCTACAGAAGAGATATAATTACTTAAATATCTTTTTAAAAATAATGCGATGTACTTTATTGCAACTAGCAACTAGCCGTTACATGGAAGTGTGAAAACAAATTATTTATCTTTGTTTCGTCATGCGTAAAGTCCGGCGAGGGTCTAAGAGATAATTGATTATGCAAGATGAAGCCCTGGTAATTAAGTGCTCTGATTTTTAGAATTGAAAGACGGTAGAATTGTTTGATTAAAGTTTCAGTTAAGGAAAATTTGCGTGTTTAGATTTTCTAATAAACCCAGATTTTACTGTGTCGGCAAAATATTTACTATGTCGCATGCATAAAATTTGAATCGTTACTGTGTCGGAGAAAATTTTACTGTGTCGGGAGCAACACAGTAAAACAGCTCATGGAGAACCCTGTACTTAAGAACAGCAAAGTCATAATTGGTCATATTTAAAAGGAAGCATCCTTAGGTAGATTCATAGATTCAAGTTTGTTCAAATCATGACCCCTTGGGATGGGATTGGAACACAATAGGGTATCAAAGTTTTACATAGAAATATATGGGAGAACAGCAAAGCCATATTTAGTCAAATTTATATGGAAGCATCCTCAGGTGGTGTAGATTCAAGTTTGTTCAGATCATGATCACCGGGGGTAGGGTGTGGGTTTTAAAATTGAATAGATAGTTATATCGATATGGATGCATCATCAAGTAGTTTAATTTTTAAGTTAAATATTCAATCCCCCCGTAAACTTTTCAATACTGAACTAATTTTTGCTTTTTTCCTAGCTTATGTGCTGAGGTGAGCGATGTGGCCCATGGGCCTCTTGTTTTTAAATAGGACAATTGAATCGCAGGCGCAGTAAGTCAACGATGGTGAGGACATATTCCTTCGAGTATCGGAGACAACATCCTGAAATGTTTCTACATTTTTGTACAGAATGTAAACCCCAACGTCGCTTCAAGAAGTTTTCCGATAAAAATATGCACTTTGAAATGAAGCATGGTAATGGAAAACACGCGGATGATATAAGTAATTATATCTTGAGTTCTATGACAGCAAGTGATCTTCAAACTTTTGTCACCAATGAAATTGAACCTGACACAGCATTCAATTCCTGTTGTAAAGAAGCTGTAAACTTCCTTTGCCAGGTCATGAAAGAAAACTTTCCAGAAACACTGAGACCTTCAGAAATCAAAAAAGTAAGCCCATTTATAGACACATAAATAACTTTTAGATATCGAATTTATTGTAACATACTTACATCAATTTAATAAGCTCGAAAAGATCAAAATACAAATCAATACAATTCAATGTAGAGTGGTTCACTTGGAAAAGGCACAGCAGTCAATGAAAAGTCAGATGCAGATCTTGTAGTTTTCTTGGTACGTTTACAAACGATACCTAAACTTCGGCGTGAAATGTTATCAGTTAAAGAAGAAATGATATGTTATCTTGGTAAGGAGAAGAATATTACCGTAGAGGGAACAACACCCTACGCCGTCAAAGTATGCTTATCCTGCGATTCTGGCCATAGCCATGACGTGGACATACTTCCAAGCGTTGACATATTAAAGAAAAGTAAGTACTATTATAAACAAGATGCATTTGTGAAACGCTATTGCCCCAGTATGACAGCTTTTGGCTAAGGTTAAAGTTCCTCAAATTTAAGTTAAACTCCAAGATCAGGGATGAAAAATTGTTACCCGCCGGAAGGATTTGTTATCAATTAATATACATGTGAAAGCTGAAAGCCAAAGGACTTACCAATAAAAATTTACGGCAAGGTAATTTTTGTTTTAAAAATGTGGCTCAAATTCCAAGGCCAGGGTCAAAGTGTTAAATCAAAAGGTAACTAGGGGAAGTTCTTGCCATAAGAAATACACATGTGAAATATTAATGCCATCCCAATAACTGTGCAAAAATTACTGCTAAAGTTAAAGGATTTCATATCATCACAAACCGGCTCTTAAACAAACAAAATAAGATGTACAAAATCCAATAATTAATTTATTTCTGTTTTAGAAACCAAAGAAGAAATTTATCGAGAAATGGATTCCAAATCAGAAAAATATAGAAAATTCTACTCAGCGGCACTAGCACCATTACAAATTTCATTTGTTTCCAGTAGGCCTCCTAAATTGAAAACTCTCATTCGTTTGGTAAAATACTGGAGGAAAACCTTCTTTGAAGTAATATCATTACTCAAACTTACCAATTATTTCTTAAACAAAAAATTTATTAATGTGTAAAAGCCTCTTATCCAATAGTATTTAATTTGTAATGAAGTCACTATAATATATAGGAGAGTACTGGTTCACAACGACTACCCACCTCCTATCCTCTGGAGCTTATAACTATTGGGGAGTGGGAAGACGCTGGAAGTCCAGAAAATTTTGATTTAAGAAAAGGCTTCTACCATGTTTTGAGAGCCATCACAAACTACACAAAATTAAAACGTGCATGGAAAACAAATTACGACGATTTTAAATGGTAAAATGTTAAAATAAAAGGATCTTTTCATAGCAAAACGCTAACAAGCCTTGCAATCACATTTATGATTATTGCTCTAAAGATCTGAAAGATTCCATAACATTTTTTCTTACACTGGAATGTGATTTTATAACTTCCAAATATCAATGAAAAGAATATCATGAATATATTTTTACTTTTAGCAATAATCAATTCTATGTGATGGATCCGGCCAATCCATTCAACAATGTAATGGAGAAATGTAACTGGAAAAAGGTGGCACGCAAAACGCGAAAGTTCCTTAACCAACCATTGTTTTTTGGTTTATCAAGCTTTGAAGGATGGTTGAAAAATTAGAATTCTTTTGTGGGCTGTGTATTCCAACATTTATTTTTTAGTTTTAATTTTTCAATTTTATTTGTAGTACAGCTGTTTTTAAAATAATATTGAGAACATTTCTTATGGAAGGTCGAAAAGTCCCGATGAATGAAATTAATTTAGACCACTTTTATACTTAATTTATTTTTATTCTAATCAATATTCAATAATAACCGTTTTCATATGAAAATAATTGTTTTGACTCTCCTAATCAAATATAAAATAGTGTTTGATAGTACAATTCCCAGTCAACCTCGGACTTTCAGTAAGCGTGGCATATCTCAGCGCTATGTAATTAGTGTTTCTCAAATGGCGAATAGATTCTCATACGTTAAGAAATTAATAACACCAGGAACTTTAAATTGTTGTTGACAACGATGAGAAACCAGGTGAATTTAATAAGGAACAACAAAATGATAAAAAAAAATTTTTTTAAATCAAGTAGGCTGATTTTACCATTTTGCTTTTCCCCGTACATTCACCTGGCTAGGTATATTATTCTTTTCTAAGCTTATATTTTCAACTTTGAGTTTAACTTTTTTTCTTAAAATTGATAAAGAACTTTAAGCACCAAAATAACATATTCTGAAATTTGATTTAGTCTGTAAACCTTTACTGAGTGTGAATTGACCATATTTGTAATTTTATTGAAGTATTTACTAATATTTTCCAAGTCTATTTCATTTTCCAAGTCAAAAGAGAATATACAATGAATTGTCCACTAAACTTGTGTGATTTGTTCACATAAATTAATATTTTCCAAGTAAATTTCATTTTCCAAGTCAATGGAGAAAAAAATTCAAAGGATTTCCACTAAACCTGTGACATGATATTATGTCTCCTCCAAAGAAAAAAATTAGTTTGTATCATTTGTCTTTATAATAAATATTCAATATGTGCGAGATTGGTTTCTTGACTGTTTATCTAGGAATAAAGGACAACTTGAGTATGTGTACATTCTTTATGATAAACGTGATGACTTTAACTTTTCAATTGTCATGATCAACTTCCCTTACTTATGCAGCAATACAAAAAAAGGATGTTTTACGCATGAACAGTTTGTAAAACGATGTTAGTTATTGACAAACAAGCTCATGAAGCAAGAATATCAGCAGTCTCGATTAAAGTCATCTTCGTAAGATCTATTGTCGATAAAATGACCTTGTCAGCAAATACAATTTATCATTGAGTCAAATGCTGACTGACTTTCTTTATACAGTTTGTTGTATCATTAATCACACACTTAGTTGTCCACAAAATTCTCCTGTTATTTCCCTATTATGACAAGGAGCACATGACGGGTGTGACTGGTCAGCAGGGAATACTCACTTCTCCATGGCACCTGATCCCACCTCTGATGTTTTGGAGGTCTGTGTTTTCCCTGCTCTTATTTTGTAATGTTTAATGGACTTTGGAGCACAGATGTTGCTCGTTATCTCCACATATTTCCTGCATCAGATAACTTCCCGAATTTAAGTTGGGGTTAATCAGTATTGTTTTAGCAAAGAGAAAACGTGATGCTGCTTTAGCTAGTCCACGTTATTACCCGTGCGACACAGGGCAGTATCACACATAATATTTCATCTGATATTTTGTTAATTTGAGAATATATATCAATTTGAAACTGCTAGGCATATTGATGAAAAATGTACGAAAGAGTAATGAAAATTGTGAAACTGCAGTGATGATAATTTTCTCTAGATAACCTGTACACGATTTTGCCAAACAATCGTCATCCAATCTTGTCTATTAAAATATTATGACCTGGGTAGTAAATGAATGTTTGAATAGTATTATGAGTTAACTAGTGCATTATACGCTTTCCGTCTCCAAATAAAGGCCCTGCATTTTTTTCCTTTTGTGAAGGCAGGTCGAATATGTTGTCGTTATCTATTTTTTATTATGCAATCGGATAAATCAATAAATGCCTTCATTTATTTTCCAAAAATAGAAACTACTATTTTAGAAAGCGTGTTATAAAGTAGGTCATGGTTTTTTTTTAAACTAAGTATCAAGTTACTATCGAACAAAAAGCAAGATCAGGCAATAAAATCTTTTGAGGAGTTATACGTTACCGACAACTTAACTTGGCAAGAAAAGCATTCATTAAAGGTGAGTGAAATATATATATATATATATATATATATATATATATATATATATATATATATATATATATATATATATATATATATATATGTATATATATATGCACGTGTATATAATTTATAATGCTAAAAAACTTTCACGAAAAGCTTAATAAAGAACATCCGTGAACTAAAATGTAAAGGTAAGGTTAACGAAAAGTGAAAGATCTTAAAATAGCATAAACAATACACTACATATTTTTTCTGCGAATTTTATCAAATGCTTACAGTAAATCCCAAGTGTTGAGTTTCTTCAGCCGAAGTAAATTTAAATCCTCATATTTTACATGAATATTGGTCTGTCGAATAATAATTTTTAGGTAATATGTAACAAAACGAAGATTGTGGCTTATGATGGTTAAATGTTTTTTAGACTTCTTCGTTTTTCTCAAAACATTGAAAACTGTTATAGTCCGATTAAAATTGTGAACTCATATTATGGACTAAAGGTCTTTGAATATATAATATGTTCATATTTCAATACAATTAACAGGTATAAATTCCTAGCCCTCCACACGCAAGTTGTGGTGTCTCCAAATGAGTGAAAATTTCTTGATTTGGAAGGGATGTATCGTTACGTGTTATGAATGGAAATAACTACTGTAAATTATAATACGTTTTTGATATATTTAAATATCAAATTAAAGGCCACATCTAGTGTTTCCTATTCTTATGTATAATATTTTGAGTATATTCTTCTTAATGCGGATACAAAAATAGGTCTGCTTGTACGGGGTGCAATTGATACCATTGAAATTTCAACAGAATGTTGGAAAGTCTGATCTCCAAAAACCACATAGATATTTTTAATCTGACACTCAAACATCTTTTTATATCAACTTCAAAGTTTCCATTTTTATCAGAATGTTTCCAACAAAATAATTTTGTAAATGACCAATGACAAGGTAGTTAAATTTTTCAAGTTCCATTTTTGTTAAAGAAGCAACTGCCATGATGTCAAAAAAGAAATGACTTCAATTCATCATGGGTGATGGGTGTATATAGACTTGGAAGGTCGTAGGTTTTACATGTATGTCCTTAATTTTGGTCAAAAATTTTGTGATTTAATTTTTTCTAAAAGTTCCTTGGAGAGTGTTTAAACGAGTTCAGTCAGGTCTGTAAGAATATAAAAAATCCCAATATTTTTTGCAGGACGTATTCATTCCTTTCCCTTTTTCACAAAAAAATGTTATCATCAAAAACTGATTTTTAAATCAAGTTTATAAACACAAAATTTCATTTCGCAATGTTATTAAGTGGATTTGTCATCTGGATTAAAGAGGAGAAAAATCAGAGAAACATTTGAACGGAAAGGTTATATGTATTGAATTTTTTTTATGTCTAATAAATAAATGAATACAATTGTTCAGCCGGAAGTTCTTCTTGTCCATAAGCTATGCAGAAAACTATTAAGGTGTTACAATTAAAAAAAAAATAAAAAGAGAGGTTCCTTAGACAAATTGTTATTCAAAGTAATAATCACCCGTGTCTTGTCAAAACAATAATATCATATTTATATTTCTATGCTGTATGAAATCAATTAAGAGTTTTCAAGAGTGCGCTGCAGGGATTAGCTGTAGATTAAAATCTATGTATTTTGAATGCACGCCAAATTAGAATGCCCTGGCATTCAATATCGTCTGGTTTGCAATTACATTCTCTTGCTAGATATTAAAAATTAAAACTGAACAAGGGTTGAGATTTCTAAAATTGTGTTTTATGAAGTTTTTAATAGATAATGAGTTCTCCACTGCATGAAATAACTGTTGATGGACTTCAAACATTTGTCACACGGGAAATCGAACCAGACACAATATACATTGAGAGATGTAATCAAGTGGTACAACGCTTGTGCGAACTCATGAAAAACAGCTTTCCAGAGGAACTAAGACCATCAGAAATTATAAAGGTTAAGTAAGGCGTAATAGGATAGCATATTATAAACTTTTGTTGATGGATTTATAACCCTCTTAGAACCCCTGTTACTTATCAACTATAACCTCAATACTTTCAGGAAATTCTGATTCATACATGCATGGATTGATCATTTAATAATCAATATTTGTATTGATATGCATTAAAACAAAATGAGTTTTATTGTTAATGAATATAATGTGGAAAAAAAATCACGGTCAAAAGTCCGTTAAATTGGGAACAGAGTAAGCACAGAATATCAAAGGGGGAATCAGGTGTCATGGAGGAGTGAGCATCTCCTGCCGACCGGTCACATCCACTGGGTGCTCCTTGTCATGATCGAGAAATAACGGAAAAATCCATCGTTAATTCAGCGTATAAATAATGGACTAACAATTAGTATAAAAAACCTCAGTCTGCATTTGACTTTATGATAGATTGAACTTGTTGTCAAGGTCATTGTATCGAGCATAAAACTTACAAAATTATGATAACCTTGAACTAGAATGCTGATATTCTTGTTCTCTAACAAAAGTTTGCTTTACATAGATCAGTTAACCATTTTTATAAAAGATAAACAAGAACATTTTTTAGATCCTGATGCTATTAGTAGTATAACGGGCCTAGATGGGGGGTTCAACTGAGTGCACTTTTGGGGCTGGGGGAGATAGGGGGTTCAACTGAGTGCAGCCCCTGGGGGGATAGGGGGTCAACGGAGTGCAGCCCCTGGAGGGGATAGATGGGTCAACGGAGTGCAGCCCCT